CGGGGGCTGGCTGGGCATCGGTCGGCGGGTGGTGAGCAATTGCATCGTGCATCACTTGCTTCGTATATTCTTATTCTTAGGATTTTATTCTATTTCAATTATTAAACTGTTTTTATCTCAACCCACGAGTTTTCTCACTTTTATTCTTCTGATTCTCTCCCCCATCCCACCGGGGCGGGGGGAGTGAGCGAGAGGCTGTGTGGTGCTCAGTTGCCGGCTGAGGTTAAACCACGACACTGGTTTAGAAATATACCCTAGGATTTAACCTCCTGTTTTTGTTCTGCAGAGAGGAAAGGGTAAGACAGAAAGGCAAGGCATTTTCAGGATGTCCAACAGTCCCTGTCGTGCCCCTCACCCTTTCTTTATAGGCCCCCTTGTAAAGCGCAATTATCCAAACAGGGACTCAGAGTCCAGCTAGATAATTATCTTCTAGAGACCAAGGAAAAAAAAAATCCAGGTACAAATTAAATTTGCTTTTCAGAGACTCCTGGGAAGTTTGAACTGCCGATCTGACAGCTCAAACAACGAAGAAAAACATTGGAGCAATTGTAGGATGACTCCTACAAGAAAAGAATAGGAGGAGTCGGGGAAAACAGTTGTCTCACATTTTAAGTAAAATGCTAGCATCAAACATTACAGAGCCAGTCAGTGACTTACGATGAGCAATTAAGTCATTAAAATAATTATCTACAATAATTAAACCAAAGCATCCATGCAGCAGAAGGGGCAGATATTGCTACAGCCTTAAAAAGCTATATTCATCTAGAGAACAGCACGTTTCCAGGAGAACCTGTTGATGTGCTGGGACCTTCAATCTGTCCAACACTCTCGTGGAAGGAGAGCTCAGGACATTTGGACATCTCTGCCTCCAGAATATTATGTGTAGAAGTAAACTGAGATGTATATAATACCAGTCCAGGACTGTAGGTTGCCTCTTCAGAGAAAGGTTTTAATTAAGCTAATAAACTTCTGATGCAAATTAGACAGTGTATCCAGGAGACATCAAATCATCTGGTCAGCCACAAATGGTCTGCCTTCGCTTGTCTCTCAGCCAGGACTGGTACCTCCATCTCCTTCCTGAGAGCATACTCTTCATTCCACATTAGGTGAAATATTATGAATCAGATGAATGTTTTCTAGACTTTTTTCTTCTGGGTTGATCTTCTCTGGACCAACAAAACTCTATCCCTTGGACTTCCAGGGCATGAAGAATGAGGAAAGACCATCAAGACCTTTCCTCATTTGGATTCTAACCTTCAGCTGTGTCGGGGTCATAGGCAGCAGACTTCATGAACTCGTTTCGCCAGAGACAAGCAAAACTTACATAAATAGCTGCCGTATCAGCACATTTCTCTTTTTTCCCCCAGCTTGAGTGAAGTTTTAAAGTCATTGACCAGTCAGAGTGCTCCAAACCACAGCCTTTCACTGAAGCGCCAGCATGCTTTTTTCAGCTAATAATTATTTGTCTTCAAATGTCACCAGAAGCAAAAAGACCCACTGAGTTGGCAAAACTCTGGATGAAGAAGCCAAGCCTACGGACAATTCTTCAAGCTTGTGGCGTTCCTGTCCTCGCAGAGGAATCAAACTGCTGACTAAAGACATGTGCGTGCGTAGCCTTCAATTTGGTTAAATACTAAAAAACACTGGCACTCCAAGTGTTAATCTTCGGTCTTGTGCTTCTGGCTCTGGCTTTTAGAGAGAAGTAGAGGCTACAGCAGAGCAGAAAAATATCATTCTTCTTAAATCATCCCGCTAAAAAGACTGCTGGATCTAACTGGAACCCTTCAATGACAGGAAAAGAGGGCAACAGCCGCGTGCCTCCCTGCTCCTCACTCTAAGCTCCTTTTGTAAGCTGAACTAGCTTCACCCGTGCTTTAATGTTAGTCAAAATTAATTGCACTTAACAGGCATCCATTACATCCTACAAACTCTGAGCACAGCACAAGGCACAGATATTAGAACCGATCTTTTCGCAAGAGCTGAATTTCAAGACCGGGAAGCTTCAGGTAAAAAGACAGCCACAACATGGGAAATAGCATTTTGAGTTCCAGCCTATGGTTCTTCCTTGTAGACTTTCCATGTTTTCAATCCCCAGAGCACTGTAAAGAGTAATGACCCAAAACAGGAGATCTGTGATTATTTTTCCTTTTTTTTCCTTCTTCCGTCATCACTTTGCTCTAATTCTCTAGCAGAAGTTCACCTTGTTGCAGGGGTGTTGCAAGTTCATGGTCAATACACTTTCTTGCCACCTGGATGAGCTTCCTTCAGACCCTGATTAGGACTGCATTTAACCCTACAGGGACACTGTAGTAAAGAAGCTTACCAACAAAAAGAGAAGTTTTACCCTAGAATATCTTCCCTGGTGGGAGTACCAGCCACGCGCGTGTACTTAAGCCCATCTCTAGTTTATAAAGAGTCTACAATTAAACTTCATGCAGTCGTCGCTTACCTCCCCCTGTCACCTGCTAAGAAACCCCAGCTGCTACGTCGTCATCTCTATGACTTGCAAATATACAACATGTTCCAATTTCAGAACATTTTTCAAGCTTCTTCACACATGAGCTGTGAACACATGGTTTTCTTTCAAAATACTTCACAAGAATGTTGGCTAACAAACGCTCCGAAGGATCTGGCAATCATCTTGTGGGTAATTTATAAAAAGAAAAAGCAGTGAAATAAAACCATACTTTGGGGCCAATATTTCTTTAGTGGTTTTTTTTTTTTTTTTTTTTTAACTGAGCCTGAATGGCTAGTTTCCTCCCTTCCCCTCAACCCTGCCTTTGCTGGCTTGTTTTTGTCTCCAGGCTTGGACATGGCAGCGGGCACAGCCCAAAAGCAGAGCCCATTATCTATGCAAGGAGGGCTTTTGGGTGCGAAACTCCTGCAGCACCCTGCCAAGCCCTGGACGCCGTGCCAGCCTGGACCAGTGCTGTGGGAACAACCCCACTGACTTGCCCTCACCCACTCCTGCAGCATCCGCTGTGCAGCTGCTCCGCAGAGACAGGCAGGACCTCAAATGTGTTATGAGCGGGACTGAACAAAGGTTTGTGATTACCTGTTTTCTCAGAGGGAGAGAAGTGACGCAGAGGGAAATGCAGTGACTCATTTGAAACACTTTGGGGATGGAAATGATGTTAGAAACCAGGCTGAGCTTCACAAAGCCCTGCACTTACAGACCCTTACTGAGTCCAGAGCTACCTATGCTGAGTGGTGTAAATTAACCAAAAAGAAGCAGTTCAGGAGGTAATGTGGGAAGGGGGTGGAATTAATATTACTCTTGCTAGAAGGAACTGAGCAAATGTCTTTGCACATACATTTTGTACTGTACTTAAGCAACATGTCCTACAGGAATGTGTGGCCTACTGAGAACTGAGCGTATGTAGGACCTTCATACAACAGCACAAGCATTGATGGTTTTGAAACGGGGCCTGTCCCCAGGAGCCAGCAAAGTGAAACCGAGCCATGGCTGGGGATGTCGTGCGACATCCTTTGTTACTGGGACTGGGCACCTCCCTTGGCCAAGAAGCAGCCACCAGCAAGCACAACAGTGTCCCATCTCATTTTCTTCTCATTGCAGCATCCTAATGCCTCCACGGCATGTGAACACCGCTCGGGGGACGCTTGTCAGAAAGCTAGCAGAGCGTTTTCACCAGAAATGGTTACTCAGATTTAAATATTGTATCTGTTTATACTTGGCAGCAAGGGGTCCTCCCAAAGACAGAGTGCTAAAACACCAAAAAAAGGGCAGGGGGGAAGGAAGGGCATTTATCAGCAGAGCTGACAAAAGGTAGCGATGCTCTGCGCATCGTCTCACACATTTAGCCCATTCTAGCTGCAGAGAGCAGTGTTAAGACACAGACCAGAGGGCACCCATGCTCTGTGCCAAAGGGACTGGAGCAGTTTGCCCAATTCAAACATTGCACTCGGCACAGATGATGCTGAGAGCAGAAATTTTTGTCCCCCAGCTGGCTTGCTTTGCCTCTTACCCCTCGGCACTGCAAAGCTGCTGATGGCCAGCCTCCCACTCCAGAGCAAGCGCTATGAAACACTCGGGGATATAGGCAGCAAGTCAACACATCACGGAAAGAGAAACAAAACAGGAGAGAGACTTGCAGCCTGCCTTATCCAACTTCTCAGCTGCATCCACTAGCCAGGGTGGAATTCTCTGGCGGGTGGAGCCGTCTTTGCTCTTGTTTCCACATGAGAAGAAAAAAATTGTTGTTTTCTCTAGATTATAGCGCTGGCTAAGAGCAATTTCAGAGGGGGGTGAATGCCCTAGTGCCTTCTCCAGCTATGTCACACTCAGGAGCCTGGTCACAGCAGCTCTCAATGACCATTCACAGAATACTCTTTTCCGAGCCCCCACCTCCGGCAGCACAGAGGGGAGAGCTCACCTATGTCCCAGCGATCACTCAGGTACCCCGGGGGGCACAAGCAGACGATGCCCCCATGATGTTCCTGGCAGGTGCCAGCTCCACTGGGCTGCTCATCACGGCTGGGGTGCAGCCGTGTCCACCGGGAACAGCAATTCAGAGGAGTGAACGATGCCTACTGCTATGGTGCAGTGGGGGAAAGCCAGATATGCATCTCCTGGTGCTTCCCTTGAACTGGTCCTCTGCTGCTCTTCCCAGGGGCATGTAATTACCATGGGCAGGCAGGAGAGAGGTCCAGGAGGCTTCTGGGGATGTGGTTATGCTGGCTGGATAATTGCATTACCTGCCCAAACACAGACTACCATTTGTTAAGACAAAAGCTATTGAACATGACTTGTGGAAAACCCCACATGTTTATGGCTTCCCACCACAGTAATATTTTGCTCAAGCCTGCTTCCGTGTTAATATTCTCTGCTGCAGAAGCAGCAAAATGTGACAGCTATGCCTCCTCCCTCCCCTTCCCTTCCATAGCCCGTTCCCTTCCATACGAGAAGAAGACACGGTACCTTCTGTAGTAGGTCCTAATGTGTCTATTGCTTCTTGTGGCACTTGAGGCAGGGCAGCAGCAGCGGTGGCCAGCAGATGGGGATTGTTTAGAACAACATCTGTCTCCGTCTTTTGTCCTGACACTGCGGGAGGGGAGGGCTCTATTTCAAGCTGAGCCTCTTCAGGGTTCCTGGGTCCCTGTGTTGGTTCAACATCTGGAGCACTGGTACTAATTACAACGTCTGGGACAGAGGTTTCCCCTGAAACGCCTGCGATCGAGTGTGTAACAGCTCCAGATGTTGTGTCAGGAATTTCCTTCTCCTCGGGAGCACCAGAGGGCTCACCACTGGCCAAAGATGTGGCAGCTGTTTCGATGTTAGCAGCAGGCAAGGCGGATGCTTCTCCACTGGTTTCATGGACTGTGGATGTTTCTATGCTAATCTCAGGAAACGCAGATGTTTCACCCTGGGCTTCTTGACTTGTGGATGTTTCTATTCTAATTTCAGGAAATGCAGAGGTTTCTCCACTTAATTCTTGAACTGTGGATGTTTCTATGTTAATCTCAGGAAAGGCAGATGTTTCACCCCTGGCTTCTTGACTTCTTGGTGTTTCTATGCTAATCTCAGGGAATGCAGATGTTTCCCCACTGAATTCATGGACCGTCGAAGTTTCTATGCTAATCTCAGGTAATGCAGATGTTTCACCTCGGGCTTCTTGACTTGCGGATGTTTCTATTCTAATTTCAGGAAATGCAGATGTCTCCCCACTGATTTCGTGGACTGTCGAAGTTTCTATGCTAATTTTGGGAAATGCAGATGTTTCCCCACTGATTTCATGGACTGTCGGAGTTTCTATGCTAATTTCAGGAAAGGCAGACGTTTCCCCACTGATTTCGTGGACCGTCGAAGTTTCTATGCTGATGTCAGGAAATGCAGATGCTTCCCCACTGGTTTCGTGGACTGTGGATGTTTCTATGCTAATTTCGGGATAGGCAGATGTTTCACCCCTGGCTTCTTGATTTGTGGATGTTTCTATTCGAATTTCGGGAAACGCAGAACTTTCCCCACTAATTTCACGGACTGTTGAAGTTTCTATGGTAATTTCAGGAAAGGCAGATGTTTCTCCACTGATTTCGTGGACTGTTGAAGTTTCTATGCTAATTTCAGGAAAGGCAGATGTTTCTCCACTGATTTCGTGGACTGTTGAAGTTTCTATGCTGATTTCAGGAAAGGCAGATGTTTCTCCACTGGTTTCGTGGACTGTGGATGTTTCTATGCTAATTTCGGGATAGCCAGATGTTTCACCCCTGGCCTCCTGACTTGTGAACGTTTCTATTCTAATTTCAGGAAATGCAGACGTTTCCCCACTGATGTCTTGAATGGTGGATGTTTCTATTCTAATTTCAGGAAATGCAGATGTTTCTCCACTGATTTCTTGACTTGTGGAAGTTTCTGTGCTACTTTCAGGAAATGCAGAGGTTTCCCCACTTACTTCTTGAACTGTGGATGTTTCTATGCTAATTTCAGGATAGCCAGATGTTTCACCCCTGGCTTCTTGACTTGTGGATGTTTTTATGATAATTTCAGGAAACGCAGAGGTTTCTCCACTGATTTCTTGAATTGTTGATGTTTCTATGCTAAATTCGGGAAATGCAGATGTCTCCCCACTGATTTCGTGAATTGTGGATGTTTCTACACTAGTTTCAGGAAATGCAGATGTTTCACCACTGATTTCATAAGCTGTTGATGTTTCTCTACCACTTTCTGGCAAAGCGGATGTTTCCCCACTTAGTTCACCTGATGAAGAGGCCTCACCACTTGGCCCAAAACCATAGGGAAATGTGACAGCTGTTTCCCCACCTAGTTCCTGTGATACTGTTGGTCTTGTCACAACTTTTACTAAATCAGAAGTGACTAAAGTGACTTCTGGAAGCCCTGAGGCCTCCCCACTAATATCAGTCACTGCTGAAGATTGTCCACTTAGATCTGTGGCTCCAGAAATGTCTCCACTGATGTACGGGATCCTGGATGGCTCTCCACTGAAGTCTCCTGTCCCTGAAGGAAACCCACTAGTCTCCACAGCTCCAGACCCTTCTCCAGATAGTCCTCTGTCTCCAGAAGGAAATCCACTGATTTCTATCATCCCGGATGGCCCTTCTCCCACCTCTTGTGCAACTGATGTCTGTGTTACAACTTCCACCAAAGTGGTATCCACAAGAGAGACTGTGGGAAAGCCAGAAGTGAGTCCACTTTCCTCTCCAGACAGTAGGCCACTGGTGACATCAACTCCAGAGACTTCTCCACTGCTGTCAATCGTTCCACTCGGGTATCCGCTCATCTCGAGCACTCCAGAAACACTCCCACCAAAGTCTACATGCCCAGAAGGCTCACCACTGATGTCTAAACTCCCAGATACCATGCCTGATGATTGTTCACCTCCTGAAGGCAATCCACTGATTTCCAAAATCTCTTTTGCTTCTGCTTCCGTAATTGAGGGGGTTGTTGTCACTTCCTCCAAACTGGCATCTACGAAGGTAATGCCCGAGGCCTCACCACTTCCATCAATACCAGAAGTAAGGCCACTTAGGTCCACCAGGCCACTGATCTCATGTGTTCCAGATAGTTCTCCACTGACATCCAGTCCTGAGGGCAACCCGCTGAGCTCAGGCCCTCCGGAGGGCTCCCCGCTGAGCTCGGGCACCCCAGAAGGTTCCCCGCCGAGCTCAGGCCCTCCGGAGGGCTCCCCGCTGAGCTCGGGTACCCCAGAAGGCTCCCCGCTGAGCTCGGGCACCCCAGAAGG